GCAAAATAGCATGTATGACAAAAATCTACTCTCTGAAAAATTTCACTAGCGTGACGCATTAGTGTATTTTTGCGGTCCAATTTTCCCACTTCGTCTATCCAAAATATTTCAATCATATATTCCTATGGTATTGTGTCTATATTGAACGAATAAAACACAGCTTTCAACTAAGCAAGGTCGTTAGGTATATTTCTATCCTAGCCATGAAATCTTTCCTCGAGCCATGGGTTCAGAAATAAGATTTTTTTAATTCTACTATAATCTAAACATGTCTTTTTCAAATATAGTATAAATAGTAGGGTTAATCTGTAGCTACAATAATTCACAAGTTAAAACTAGAATTAAAGAAATAACCACGAGATAATAAATCAAATTAACGAAGATGTAATTAATAAACGTCAATATTCATCAACCACAACCCTAGAAAGTAGAGTGCTTAACCACTTATATTCGTAGCAACGATTATCCAAGTATTTTGTATAAACAAATTACAAAAAAAAAAGGATGAAGGGAGGAAGAACTCTATGATTTTTCCCTCCAAAGTTGTTCCACAATGTGTTTTTGCCTTCAAATAAAATCCAACTCTTACTAAACACGTTTAGGAAGTATTTATAAGCTAGGGTCGGAGTCTCTATATTCCAAAATCGGGTAGCAAAACTTTTAATTCGCGGACTGTGGGTACTAGGCGCCTGACCTCGCGAGGCCAGGCCTAGCGCACTCCTGGAGCCTCGCGAGGTCTTGGTCGCTGTAAGCCAGGTGTTGCATGTTCTGGTGCCTGACATGACTTCGTCGTGTTTTCGAGCTCTTTTCTTGTATTTTTGTCACCCTTTTGTGAAATCTTTACTCGAATTTCGTTGTAAGCTAGGCGTTGAAATTTTTGTCACCCTTTTGTGCAATCACACACAAGTATACTTGGTCGTACAAGTAATAAAATAATAAGTCGAGTGTCGAACCCACAAAGACTTGTATTAACTACCCACTAAATTCACCAAGATTATTATTCGGTCGAGCCAATCTGAGTTCAAAAGTGTGAATATACTAAACAATAATCTTAACTAGTAACTAAATTATCAAACACCAAAATAGTTGTTGTGTATTTGGTAGAGACAAATATTTCAGGGTTGTGATAGATTCATCAATCCTATTGTGTTCTAGTTAACTCTCCCTTTCATACAATTCACTCATGATTGCTAATTAATCGAACAATTTCTCTCATAGCCTTCTCCCGAAGTAATACTCGCCTATTCAAAATAGATTAACGCCTATATTCCTATGAAACCAATGTATTAAGAAAGCATTAAGATTACGATATTAATTAAGCACAGTGACTAGGTATATTCCTATCCTAACCAACAAATCTCGCCCTCCCTCCCTCCCCCTCCCCCTCCCTCCCCCCCCCCCCCCCCACCAGAGTTAAGATCGTGCTCTCTTCAATTCTTCTCTAATCTAAACATGGCTTTCCCAAGCATAGCATAGATAGTAAATAGAACCTAACTGATGGTCGGACAATTAAGCAATTAATCACAGAATTTAAGAAACAATCATATATTGGTAAATTACACTTAAGGTTAAATCAACGTTAAACAATAATATTCATGGCTAAATCACAACCCCGGATCTATGGGTTTTAGCCACTCATGATAATATCAAACAATTTCATAAGTGTTGGATAATTGAAAATACTACGAAAAGATAAAGAAAACTGAGATATCTTCGCTCCCCAATGTTTCTCGTGTGTAATTTTCCTTCAAAGTGGCGTCTCCCCTTTCAAAATAGGCTTAGTCTTGCTTTTATACGCGTTGGGTAGGTCTAGGGACAAAATAACCTTGTCTCGGGCAAAGTTGGAGAAAGTCCCGTCACCAGCGCCCAAGGCAGCGTGGGGCACTAGCCCTGGCACTGGCCTCCTAAACATTCTGTAAACGGCGCCACAGGTGGCGTGGGGCGCTGGAATTCTACATTTCCCATTTTTTCTCTGTTTTTGCTCTAATCTCGCACCTTTCGCCCCCTATTGCCTCTGGATGATTCCTAACATAAAAATACCACATTAACATAAATCAATATTTTACATCCGAAATCCATGAAACATGAGGCGATATATATATATATATATATATATATATATATATATATATATATATATATATATATANTATAAATCATCACATTTACCATCCCAAATTCACGAAACAAAAGTAAAATATAAGGCGATATATATATATATATATATATATATATATATATATATATATATATATATATATATATATGCACTATAAGCTAAATATCAACACCCCAAACTTAGACTCTTGCTAGTCCTCGAGCAATGGGACTATCAACTATGCCCTAACAACGTACATCTCAACTAGAGAGGAGCACTTCAATTTTTAACCGTACACTCTACCCTTGACTATGATCGATACCGGCAATCAAGCATGAACATACAAAATTCACATTCTTCCCATTTTAAACATGCACAATTATATCCATTTCAATTCAATCAATTTAAACAACCTATCCGTAACCACCCTACCTTAAGAGCCGACTCGTTACCACTAAGCACCCTCAACTTGCGCACTCATTCAACAAGAGACGTTTACAACATTATCAATCCTTCATGAGATCATGTGCCCTCACCAACAAATAAAAGAATGAATATAGAATAGTCCACACATTCAAGTACGCCTTTGAATATAACTTAAGGACATCACACAATTGAACAAAATTCACTCACTCTCACAAAGAATTCATGTGCAAGAAGGCCGAGCACAAGACTAGAGACAAGTTAGATTATATACACTCTGACTTGTGGGGTCCAAATAGAGTTCCCTCCAAGAGTGGTGCCAGGTATTTTATGACTTTGATTGATGATTACTCAAGGATGGTGTGGGTGTATTTTCTGAAAACAAAAGATGAGGCAATTCCGACATTTGTTAAATGGAAGACGATGGTTGAGAGGCAGATGGAAAGAAAAGTTAAGCGTCTTCGAACTGACAATGGATTGGAATTTTACAATTCTGAGTTCGATAATTTCTGCAGCAGAGAGGGCATAGTGAGACACCGCACTTGTGTCGGAACACCACAACAAAATGGTGTTGCAGAACGTATGAACAGAACACTTTGTAATAGGGCACGAAACATGTTTTCACACTCATGTGTTAGCAAAGATTTTTGGGCTGAAGCAACCGATACTGTAACACCTCATGCTTTAGACAGAATCCCACATCGGCAAAACACAAGAGGGATGCAGGCTATATATGTTAACAAGCCTTAAACCCTAATGACGCGTTTCAAACCCGTGAGGGCCTAGGCCTAGAGCGGACAATATCACTAGCGGGCTGGGCTGTCAAAGATGGTATCAGAGCCACTTTTGTTTCAGCCATACCGATGGTGGGTCAAAGTTCAACTGAGTTTAGGCAAATCCCGATTAGGCGGGGCAAACCTCAGTGCTGAGTCTAGGCAAATTCCATGCGTTAGGGCAAATCTCAGCGAGGACGCTGAGTCCATAAGAGGGGGTGTATGTAACACCTTAGGCTTTAGACAGAATCCCACATCGGCAAAACACAAGAGGAATGCGGGCTATATAAGTTAACAAACCTTAAACCCTAGTGACACATTTTAAACCCGTGAGGGCCTAGGCCCAGAGCGGACAATATCACTAGCGGGCTGGGCTGTTAAAAATACAGTTTGTTATTTGGTCAAAAGATCTCCTTCCACAGCTATTGAGTTCAAAACTCCTTTTGAGGTATTGTCCGGTTCGCCTGCTGATTATTCAAATTTAAGGATATTTGGTTGTCCTGCTTATGCTCATGTGAGGGATGGAAAACTTTAGCCGAGGGCAAAGAAGTGCATATTTCTAGGGTATGCAACTGGAGTGAAAGGCTATAGGTTGTGGTGCACAGATCAAAAGACTCCAGGGCTAATTATCAGTAGGGATGTAACATTCAATGAATCTGCCTCACTGTACAGTCAGAGGGAGAGGGCAATAGCAGAAACAGATTGGGGTGTCAGTGACCGCATAGAGCTAGAAATTGAATCTCCACTAGCTCAGCCCAATAGTTCTAAAGTAGAGGAAGTGGAGGAGGTGCAAAATATTGATCAAAATGATAATGTTGATGCAACTGCACAACAACAACCATATAGCATTGCAACAGGTAGAGAGAAGAGAGTGATCAACCGATCGCAAAGGTCTGCAAACGTAGTTGATGGGAATCTTCTTGGATATACGAATCCAGTGGGATTTGCTTTGGCATTTATAGAAACTGTTGATGCGTTTGAGTGTTATAGCTATCCAGAAGCTATTTCGGGAACATAACCAAATCGACGGATTAGTGCTATGGCTAAAGAGATTAAGTCTCTTAACAAGTTTAGGCGTTGCCTAAACTTGGTTGATGTGTACGGCAATGGGTAGAGCCCTTGCGAGGGCTGAGGGCAAGGTAGAGAGACGTTGTTCCTATTGATGAATAGAATTCAAGACAAGGGGAAGAATTGTTATTTGTGGCTTGAATTATTTCCTTGTATTTTTAGGAAACCCATAGTCCCTATAGGTTTAGGAAAACCCATTGTCCTAATAGATTTGGGAAAGGAAAACCTATAGTCCTTGTCAAATTAGGAAACCTTTCTCTTATATGTTTGGGACCTTTTGGGATCTATATATAGGGGTTGTAGTTGGGGATTCTGGAGATTGTACTTTGTTTTTCTTCTCATTCATAGTGGAAAACTCTCTCTGATTTTGCCACGAGGATTAGGCTTAGCCGAACCTCGTTAAATCCTTGTGTTGATTTTTCTTCTCTATTTGCTTTGTATGTGATTGTGTGTTAGTTAACCCACGATATTCCGCAACATGGTGGATTAAGCTACAAATGAATCCTACCATTCCCTTCAATTCCATGTTAGAATACTTCAATCTTTTCCTCAAACTGTTCGTGTAACCTTCTGCTTTCATGTTAAGAAAGACAAACAAAGAATATTGACAAAATTATGTTTGCAAGAAATTAAAAGAATTGAAATATAACTTCTTCCCCAACATATCTCTTGTATTGACTAGTAATTTGAATTACATTATTCAACCAAGAAAAGAATTAATGAAGGATATATGTTTCAGCCACCTATAAAACCTAAAAAATAATTGACATGTATAATGATTCCATTTCCCCCCTGCTGAATAAGCAAAAAAAAAACTTAAGCTGGAAAAATAACTAAGGAGATCTTTAAAAAAAATAGAAGGTGAAGCATGGCTTGCTATCAATATGCTGGAGAAGAACTTGAACTGTTGACTTTATTGTTGCCATTGCTACTGTTTTGTTTCATTATTGTTGCTTGGAGTCGTTGCGGCTGTAGTATTATTATTAGTAACATTGTTGGAATGGTGTGAATTGCCAATTAAAGAAGTGACGGCTGCTGCTAATGCTGCTGCAAAATTAGGATCAGCAGTAAGAGCATTCACTGTGTCACCAATTGATGGCAATGTTGAAACATTTTGGGACATTTGAAGGCCAGAGAATTTTGATTGGTTATATAAAGCTTGACCAAAAATCTGAGGTAAAAGTGCAATTGGATTTCCAGGGGAATTTTGGTGTGGATTTTGGAAAGGGAATTGGAATTGGTTAGAGGGTCCTTTAAATTGCAAAGAATTTGAGTTTTGAGTTAGGTCCAATGTAACAGTAGGAAAAGGCGCGGAGGCTGAAATTGTGGCCATACTAGAGGAACAAGGGAGGAGAGTTCTGGCTAGGATATTTGAGCTCATTAAGCCATCTGCACTTGGCATGGAACCTGAGAGTAGCATTCTTGCTGCTGACGAAGTAGTTGAGGCCATTGCCGCCGCGGCCGGCGGCAATGGGTGGTTGTGATTCCCTTCGTAAGTTGTGATCAAGATTGTTTTGTCCTCTGCACATCTTTGAACCTGTCAATGCCATAAAATACACTTCTTGTTACCTTTGCTATAATTTTATGTAATATATTACACTTTTTTGTCACAAGAATCAAATATTTTAAATATATGATAATACTTCCAACTCGAGAAACTTTCTTGATTGACTACTATTTTCTTTTTCTTTTTTTTGATTGACTATCATAAAATCTATTTTGTCTTTGATCAAGATAGGGTAATAGAGACTTCATGCCAACAAGTTGTAACAATCAGTGGTGGATATCAAGTGAACAGCTGCACAAGGCTGGCAAGTGACACATTTTTCTTTCTTTCAAGTGTATACACTAAAATAAGAGAGATTACTAACCATTTAATTGACTAATATACAACAACAACATACCCAGTGGGATCCCACAAGTGGGGTCTGGGGAGGATAACGTGTACGCAAACCTTACCCCTATCTTAGGGAGGTAGAGAGGTTTCCAATAGACCTTCGGCTCAAAAATAGTGAAAAAGAAGCAATGAACAGATAGTAACAACAACATTTAATATATTCTTAAAGCACAAAATCAAATCATGGATGAAGTTGTTTAAATAAAAAAAAGACATACTTGCTTCCTAACTGGGCAACCAGCTGCCATGGTACAGCGATAATAAGCGCGAGGACACGGGTTTCCCTTCGCCATTTTTTGCCCATACTTCCGCCATTGGCAACCATCTGTGATCTATTTAAGTGCACACCAAAAAAGAAAAGGCATCCAGTTATTCTACGTACCAAAGTTTAAGCTGATGAAAAGTTAAAGCAACGAATATAAATGATTCATATAATTCATCTAACTAGTCTAAGATTATGATTGATTTTGAAAACTATCAAGGCACAATATAATGGTTGAACAAATAATTATGATTGAACTATGTGGCTTAGCTTAACTCACACCGACACGGAGTCTTAGAAATATAGTAAACTTTTGAAACTTGTGGTCAACGATTATAATAGCATATCAGGTGTAAAGTTAAATTATTTTTAAATATATATCATTCGTTCATACCATGGGAGCTTCGGATCGAGCCCTGACAGAGACACGAGCCTTCCTTATGGTAGCCTCAGTGGCTTGATCAACAGTAGTACTACTCTTGGACTCATTGTCCACTACTCTTGGAACCTTATTAGGACCCCAACAAGATAAACCTTTTTCAGGACTATCCTCTCTATCACTGGAACCAGACTCAACGATATTCATCGGTGGTGATCGTGACTGTTCCCAGCTTCTTCTCCCCTCGGACGACGACAATGAAGGCTCATCTGCTAGACGGCCAAGATCCATAAACTGCCTAGGCCTCATTTGACTACTTTGATGGTATTGCTGCTTGATTTCTTCTCCTTTGTCATCTTGCTCAATATGATCATGTTGTTGTTTCTGTTTAAGTATTGTCAATTGCATCTGTAGAGTACTACAATTTGTTGTGACCTGATTTAACATGTCCCTTAAATGTCGATTTTCACCGTTCATTCTCTCCAATTCAGCCTGAAGAACTGCCAGCTATAACATATAATTGCAAAAATGTCAACGTTGTTCGAAAGAGGATAGGGCAGGCCTATGTGCGGGGTTCAGGGAAAGGCCGGACCACAAGGGTCTATTGTACGTAGCCTTACCCTGCATTTTTGCAAGAGCCTGTTTCCACGGCTCAAACCCGTAACCTCCTGGTCACATGATAGCAATTTTACCAGTTACGCTAAGGCTTCACTTCGTCCAAATGAGAATACTTTTATTTACTTAATTATGCCTTTAACATAACTAAAAAAAAATAGTAGATTGATTACTACTATGTTTAAGATGTAATTCTTACCTCAGTTTTTGTTCTTCTATCCTCAGAAGAAGCTGGGGATAAACCATCTTCCACTATGGACTGATCACTACTAGTGTTTGCAGTGAGAAGTTGCAAACCAGTCTACAAAATGAGAGAATTGGATTAGAATTCACTTATACAAACTAAGCGAAACTGATGAAAAAGAATAAACTTGATAATGGTAGCTTACATTTATGTTGAAATCTAATTCAAGAGGTTTATTGAATTCTTTTCTGTCGTCAGTATCCTCCTTACAATTGCCACCTTCTTTAGCAGCAAAGAAGTCCATCTCATCAAGAACTGGTCTTTTTTGGTCATGATCATTAATAAGATTCACTGGGAATTGAATAGTAGTGGGAGGTGGTGATGACATGTTCTTGGTTGGGGCTTCCATAATATAATTATTGGATGATAAAGCTTGAGTAATTAATTTGTTGAAAAAATGGTGGTCTTTTGATGAGGGATATTGAAGAAAGAGTGTTGTGGGATCTGGATCAAAGAAGAGTCCACTACCATTGGCCATATATGAATTACAAAGGAAACAGAAAAAGAGATAGGCTTTGAATACAGCAATGGACTCGGCAATAAAAAAGGAAAGAAGGAAGACCAAATACTAGAGGGGGGGAGGGGGTAAAGTAGGGGGTGTGGTGTGGTGTGTGTGGAATTAAATGAAGACTTAAGAGTGGTGTAATTGTATATTTGTTTGAAGAGAAATTGATGGGAATTGATTTTTGAGGACTTAGGTGAAAGGCATGGTTCCTCTCTAGTCCCTCTATCTTCTAATACTATCATTAATACTACTGTGCTAGTTTAGCCTAGAAGTCGCCTTTGTCAACCTAATGTAGATGCATAAATGCATGTAGCATGCAAGTGTACGTGCGTACACACATATTCATACACGTAAATACATATATATATAATACTCCCTCCGGTCCACAATGAGTGATTTTTTGGCTGTTTTCACACGGATCAAGAATCCACCTTTTAACATCAATTAGCAATGAAATTGACCATATTAACTTTTACTATCTCTTTACATAAACACTCCTAACACATACTCCAACACTATTTACTCCAAGGGAAATGTAGGAAAAAAATAATTAATTCATTCTTGAAATCTGAAAAAATCACTTATTTTGGACCACAAAAAAGGGCCAAAAGTCATTTATTGTGGACCAGAGGAAGTAACTGATAAGGTAAGCGTGTGTTTAATATTACTTCGTAAATCAAAATCATTATTTCCCCTAACCTAATTTGTGTGACATTTTTTTACTTTTTGAGAATCAGACTTTTAAATTTTGACTGTTCATCTGGATAGAGAATCTTTTAAATTTTCGAAATAAAATGTATATATTTGAAAATCACGTAAAAAGTATTATAAGTCATTATTATTAATAATTTAAAATATTTAAAATGCGTTGAAAAATGCGATCAATGAATAATTCGTATGGCTTTCAAATTCAAACACTATCACATAAATTGAGACGAAGGGAGTATATTTAATAGCATAATATAAAGAAGAAGAAAAAAAAGGACAGTCCGGTGCACTAAGCTCTCGCTATGTGCGGGGTCCGGGTAAGCTGGGCCGGACCGAAATATAGCATAATACGTTTGATTACTTAAACATAGTATATAGAATACAAAAAAGATTACTTAAACATAAAATAAAGACTACTAGTGATTTGATTACCGTGGTTTTGAACTTAAATGCTAAAACTAATAAGGATCTTATCCAATGTTTTAAAAGGCGGGGGCGTGAGACGAGGCGTTTTCCCTCTGATGAGGCGAGACGTAAGCCTTGAGACATGGGGCGTAATTCCCACTGATCTTTAAATTTTACTAATTTCAAGAATTTTAAGATAGTACAAAATAAAAAATAATTATAAAAATTACATTAAAATCACAAAATTATAACAAATAATCTATTTAATATTTATAAATTATAATTCAATTATGAATAGTAAGAAAAGTATGACAAATATCATAATATGCAAATTAGCTGCAACGTCGTTACAACTCAAACATCAAAAGTAATGTACTTCGATACGAAATCTTATATGTATCACTTCATGAGTAATGAATCTTGAAAGAATTTCGATATTATAATTTGATATTTTTCTTAAAAATACTCCTTTTATTTAATATGCTTTCTATTTGAAAGAGAATTTATATTAAAAACATAAATCACAATTTAAATATGATTCTCTAGCATCATTTATTTTTAATTTTTAGCAAGTTAATAAAGTGACACATAATTCACCATACAATACCATGATGACTAATTATTTGTAAATAGTTACTAGCTAATACTGAGCTATTAAATTAATAAGTATTGTATCTCGTAAACATGAAAAAAATAATACTTAGAAAAATAATTTTAAAAACTATGGACTATTATATAGTAAAGACAGAACAAAATTAATAAATAATTTTTGAATGAAAGATTTATTTAAAATTAACTATCATAGCAGTCTTAGTGGATAACGTGCAATAATTTTATTTTAATTATGACATAAAATACTCTAAACTTAATGATTTATGATTAAGAAAAATGTAATTTTGAATAATCAATGATTTATCAAGAAAATTTGAGTATTTACAAGGTTAGTTACATACAATTGCATAAAGTTCTATTAGGCGAGCCCAGTACACTGGGCGTTGGGCGTGTCCGGGGCCTAAGCCCTGATGACCGAGACGTAAGTCTCACGAAACTAAGCCCCACACATAAGTCCAGGGGTGTTTTACGAGTGTTCCGCCCCGGGACGAGTCCTAATTCTGCCGTTTAAAGGAGAGATCTTATCCTTCCTAATAGAAGAAATGAAGAAGGTAAGTTATCATTACATTTCGAACTTGGAGATAATAAATGAGGTTTTACTTATTTATTTATTATATTTGCTTCAGCGGGCTGAGTCAAACCCTCAAACAAGATAATGAATGTGCAGTTGTGGACTTGTTAGGTTTTTTAGTTTTTTTTTAGCCTGTGGGTTTTCCTACGTTTAATAATATCTATTACTTATATTTATATGTGAAATATACATTTAAAATTATTAAAAACAATTTATTTAAGCGCCGGCTGCGCATTTCTAGAACTCACTCAATTATAGAATGTGAATTCAGTAAAAGTCTCAAATTTAATCTACACAATGACTATATATGTATATATTATTCAACGATAATGACAAAATTAAAACGATTAAAAGTCAATAGAATAAATACATATCAATCAAGTATGGACTGATATTCTAGAAATGATTAATGACATAGTGGAGCCAGAGAAATTACAACCTAAACCTGTAGAAATAAAACTTAAATTCCACAAATAAATGTTTCTTGCTTCCTTTAAATTGCTGTGTTAAGGAGAGGTAAATAGGAGTAATAATTTTCTAAAAAGATGAAAAGAAATAGTAAGGGAAGTCAAATGACCCCATTTGAGGTGAACTGTCCAAGTTGAGACCTTCTTGGGACCAATAAAAAGAAGCCACGTAAAGGTTAAAGAAATTGAGGAGTAGAATGATTCTGGGTTTGGTCAAAGGGGAGTGAGATTGATGCGTTCCAACAAATTCATCGCCCCAAAAGTCCCGGCACTTGCTCGTGACGACCGCTCTGCTGAATCTTAAATTTGGGCCTTCTTTTCTTCAGTTAAAGAGTCAACGAACTTTCAGGGGCTACCCCACTTTATGACGACTTGTGGGTCCATTCCTCGCCAAATTTGGAGTTTCATCTTCGTCTCTTTTTGTTGAGTCCGAAACCTAAATATTGATTTTTTGGACTCAAAATACCTTTATACAGTTAAAAAAAAAGTTATATTTCTAATTAAAACGCAGTATTATATTGCGTTTTAGTTTAACGGAATTGTAGCCGTTAAAGGAAAATATAGTATAATACTGCGTTTTAGTAAAGCGCAGTATTATACTGCATTTTCCTATTAAATTATAAAGTCTCTTTCTTCCCCACGACAGAAACCAGAAGGTTTTTTAAATTATGTTCATATGTTTGTTGTTTTTATTTAGTTTAGATTATTTATTTGCTTAAAGAATAGTGGCCTTTTAGCGTAGTAAAATATAGAGCCTTATAGCGTAGTAAAATATAGAGCCTTTTAGCGTAGTAAAATATAGAGCCTTATAGCGTAGTAAAATATAGAGCCTTTTAGCGTAGTAAAATATAGAGCCTTTTAGCATAGAGTCTCTGTAGTTTAAGTATCTACTAACTACAAACTCTATCCAATTACACTTTACAAAAATTAATTATTTAATTTATAAACAAACACATAGAACTAACATATTAATATATGTTGTCAAATTAAATATCGAGCGTGGAACCCATAGATATTTACTCTGTCTAATTAAATAATTAAATATTTAATTTATAAAACTAACAAAATTTTAAAAATATTGAAATTGACACACATAAGAATTCAGGATAGCTTGGTGCTACTGGGCCTCAAATATCGAGCCTAGAACCCATAGATATTACTCTGTCCAATTAAATAATTAAATATCGGTTTTATAAAACTAACCAAATTTTAAAAATATTAAAATTGACACACATAAGAATTCAGGATAACTTGGTGCTACTGGGCCTCAAATATCGAGCCTGGAACCCATAGATATTTACTCTGTCCAATTAAATAATTAAATATTTAATTTATAAAACTAACAAAATTTTAAAAATATTGAAATTGACACACATAAGAATTCAGGATAGCTTGGTGCTACTGAGTCTCAAATATCGAGCCTGGAACCCATAGATATTTACTATGTCCAATTAAATAATTAAAATATTTAAATTATAAAATAACAAAATTATAAAAATATTGAAATTGACACACATAAGAATTCAGGATAGCTTGGTGCTACTGGGCCTCAAATATAGGGCCTGGAACCCATATATATATATATATATATATATATGTCGTCCAATTAAAAATTTAAATATTAATTATTATAACATAAACACACAATTAATATTGTTTAATTTACAGTAGACGACATGGACATGCCGCCTGTGCATCCTGGACCAGCCTCGGATCAGATATTAGTGTTACAGGGCGATCATAGGTCCGCCTACGTATGGGAGGGACAGCTAGTGGATCAGACTCTCCGCGCTAGGAGACCGGACGACTTGTGGGACTTTTTGAGGGAGAGAGCTTTTCATCCTCGCGTAGTCGAGCGCCTCATTACTACGGGCTTCTATAGGATTTTTGAGATTGGGCGGCTGCAGCTCGACTGGTCTCCGATCACGGCGTTGATAGAGCGGTGGCGACCGGAGACGCACACTTTTCACCTGCCCATTGGCGAGGCCACCATCACGCTTCAGGATGTTCAGGTTTTATATGGGTTGCGTGCTGATGGACTGGCCGTTGCACTGCCTCAGTATATGAGATCTATGACGCGTGCCCAGTATTTGGATTTGCTGCAGCAGTTTACTGGTTTCAGGCCACAGGGTAAGGATGCAGCTAGAGGGGGCAGTCGCGTTGCTGTGACAGCTATCAGACATCATTTGGAGGTATTGCACCCCGACATCACCGGCGAGACAGATGATCTCCATATTCACTGGTACACGAGGTTGGCGCTGCTCCTTCTATTCGGGGGTGTCTTGTTCCCGAACACTTCGGAAAATCTAGTGAGTATGCGATTTCTACATCATCTTTAGCAGCTAGATGAGTTACCCCAGTACAGCTGGGATGCTGTTGTTCTCGCTTACCTGTACAGGAGTATGTGCCGGGCTAGCATGGGCACCCAGAGCGACATATGTGGTTTT